TCGTGGGGCGGCAGCTGGTGCGTCTCCATCGTCTCCCTCCAGGTGAGAGCGTCTTGGTAGCGCCCGATGCTAACATAACTCTCCAGAACCTAGAGGTGGCAGCCAGAAACAAGTGCTGGCGTTAGTTTCGACCCACGGCAGGAGATGGCACCCCGATCGGCGAGTGGTCGGCTCGCCTGAGGTCAGTGCCAGCGGTGTGTTAGCGGCGCCGACCGCCGGCTCCTGGTGAGCGGCGCCAGCAGTGTGTTAGCAGCGCTGCCCGCTAGCTCCTGGTGAGCGGCGCCAGCAGCTTCCCAACGATGTCGTCTGATTTATCCCATACCGATATCGATATCAGTATGAATTTTTCGCCACCAAGACGACTTCGGGCCGATATCTCTAATCCCAACCGACTGCCCAGCTGTCGCAGCAGATGCAGAGCCGGACGGGGAAGGGGGTGGGGGGTGATACTTAACTGCCCATCAATCACAAAAGCTCCAGCGCTGCAGAAGAGGGGCAGCACTCCAGCGATGGTGGAGGGACAGAGCTTCACCGGTGGTGGTTAGGGCGGCGGGTCGATGGTGGAGGGGGCGGCGGGAGGCCCACCTGGCTGCTCAGCTGTCTCATCAGCTCCTGGTCGGCCGCGGCGTCCTACGTGCTCCAGCACGTACTGGCGCAGGGTGTCGGCGCCCTCGCCGTACCTGTTTGAGTAAACACACACCGCCGGTTAGGCCTTAAAGCCGCGGTCCCGCACCGGGGCCACACCCCGCCAGCGGCGACGGTAGACCAGCTCGGAACCGTTCACCACGCCACACCACGCCACGTCACGCCACGCACGCACGCACGTACGCACGCCACACACACGCACACGCACACCCACACCCACATATATGCGTAATATAATGGTATGTATATATATTATATATATAATATATATATATATATATACATATGTGCGTGCGTGCGTGCGTGCGTGCGTGCGTGCGTGCGTGCGTGCGTGCGTGCGTGCGTGCGTGCGTGCGTGCGTGCGTGCGTGGGTATATATATATATATATATATATATATATATATATATATATATATACTCAGCTCATATATATGTGCTGATATATATATATATATATATATATATATATATATATATATGTGTGTGTGTGTGTGTGTGTGTGTGCTCATATATATGTGCATATATACAGCTGCTGAGACATGACCACATTTGCCCCTCATCCTGGCAGGAAGGGCGGGCACCGCGGGAGCCGAGCCCCGTGCCTCCGGTTTCTTCTATACTATCGGAGCTCGCGGACAACCTGCTGGGGCTGACAAAGTCTGACAGTAGCAGTGTGTGATCGCCCAGCCTTGCCTGCAGGGCACAAACAGAGCATCAGGTGTCAGCCCCCACTGCACGGTGCCCCTCTGCCCAGTCACCTGCGGCGTGCCAGCATCTCAGAGCCGTCCATCCAATCGGCCGCCTCCGGCTCCTCCGCCAGGTGACGCAGCCCGCGCACCAGCTGCCAGCTGCCGGCACTCACGGCGGCCGCCACCGCCGACTGCAGCGCCCCTGGTGGCGGCGGCGCGCGACTCTCGGCCAGCAGCGGCCAGACGGCGGCGAGCCCGGCCGGCGCCGGCAGCCGCGCCAGCGCTGGCCGTGCGCGCAGCACGTGCCGCCGCGCGCGCAGCATCCACTCGCGGCACGTGGCCTGGTTGGCGCGGAAGAAGGAGCGCACAGCCTGCGGGGGAGGGGGTACTGAGGTCAAGGGAAGGTGGGGTGGGACAGGGGCATCTTCACGAATAAGGCTGACACAATATTTCTTTGCAAGTTGTCAACCTCCAGATTGAGGAAACTTCTTGCTTCGTTTGAAATTTTGTAAAGATCTCTACCTGTTTAAACGACTCATGTCAACTGGCAGTCACCTAACAGGTGGTTGGTACTTGCAGCGATAAAAACAACGTAGCACCGGGCGCAAACAACCAGTGCGGCTGACGGGCCCCTCACCACTCAATAACTAACTATCCAACCTCTCATTCAAAAGCCTATCATCTACATGCCTTGCCACATCCCCCATCTTTCACTGTGACAACAGTCGCTGACCTCCCTGACCTTGTTGAATACGGAGGGCATGACGGCGACGCCTTCGGCCGCCGCGTGGATGCACTTGTCCAGCGCCTCCAGGAAGGCGAGCAGACCGGCCAGGCCGGCGCCGTTTGCCGACACGCAGTCCGAGATCCTCTCGTCCAGCTCCGTCAGAGTCCTCTGTTAACCACACACATAACTGACGGTTAACGCCACGGCCGGTACGTGGCAGCAGGTCCTGGGAACCAGCCAGTCGCTCATGACAAGGACATGCCGTTATGGAGTGAGTAACTGAGGCAAAGCACGGGGTAATCAGTTACATTTGCCTCTGGGACAGAACATTCCGGTGCATGGGCCCCAGGGTGCTCACCTCCGGCTTCTTGTGAGGCGGCGTCTTCAGACGGTGTACCACGCAGAACTCTGCCGCCGACAAGTGGGACCAGAGCTTAACGAGACTGCCACGAGATGACAGCAGCCACGCATCGTCCGCCTTCTGCACAGTGGTTGCGTTTTGGCAGGCGGCCAGGGCGTCCACCGCCCAGTCGAACACGGGTGAGCTGCGGATCGCGACACACCAGTAAACAATCGCGTTCAAGCAGTGTCCTAAAATTGCCGACTTCGGGTGTAAAGCAAGAGCCCATGAGGAGGAATTTTCGCTCCTTTTCCCCATGTTTTGCGGATTTTTCGCTCCTCCCTGATATTATCTAATCGCACATGCCAAACCCATATTTCCCTTTCCGAGGCATTCACATGCCATCTAAAACCCAGCTTACTCAACACCACCAAGCATAAACAAGGCCCCAGAAAACCTGGACACCTATGGCTATGTCCTGCCTCACCTACATCTGAATCATGTCCATGTATGCACAGAGCAAGGGCGCCAGGTACCTTCAAGCCCGAGAGCCCCAGCGACGTCAGCCGCTCACAAACATCAAGCTTGGTTTGTTTACAAAATGCATCACAATCGGCAGCTATAAGCCAAATACAAGGCTTTCACGCATCCCCAATGTTTTTGGTCTGGCCACCACACCACCAAAGCAGAGCATGGTACGAACACCAGCAAAGCCTGGTAGAGAATTTTACCCCACGCATTTATTTCATCCGAAGAGATTTGACAACTAAATTGCATAACTCCCGAAACGCAGGAATGAAAAAATTCATAAATATCTTCTAAATGAAATTTACAAGTTAAATAGCACCGTTTGGGCCTCCATTTTCACAGATTTCAAGTCAAATCAGCTGATTACAATATTTTGCCAAAAAGTATCAGTCTTGATATTTATTTGACTGTTTTTGTTTTTCCTGACACCATACGAGAGTGATCTAACTTTACTCTTCAATCATTTCCGATTGCCTTTAAAAGTACCATCTATTGCTTAAAATGTTGACCAAATTCTCTGCAAAATGCTACAATTGCAAACTTGCACGTATTTTGTACAATTCGATTAATTTGCCAGCCGCCCAAACATGTTTGACACGCACCCAAGAGCGAACAATGCACAGGGAATGAAGGAGACAATTTGAAGCACGGAGCTTATTCTTACCACCATTTTTATCCTGTTAAACCCTTAGCCAGCCCGGGTTTTTTTGTTGTTTGGTTTTTGTTCATGGCGGTGCTCGATGATAAATCTATGCCTTTCCAGTTTCGCTACCTTACTGGGCTACATTATCCAGCCATAACTAGCTTTGGGATAGACCTGACGCAGCTACTACAGAAGTGTTTGATGGCGAAATTTTGCCCTGGGGCTGTTTATCATGCACGCCTCGTTTCGCATTTTAAATTTGTAGGTTGGTTGACGTGGTTGAAATTTATATGTGGGGGTGGGTGGTATGACCCTGTCTGTCAGCAAACCATGCACGACTTTCTGTTTGGGGGAGCAGAAAGAAGTCTGCCCTTAAAAAGCCAGTAAGTCTCCTATGGAGCAAATGATTGCTCGTTGTTGTTGTTAATTAGGGTTTACCTGCTTTCAACGCACGATTTGTACCTAGAGTAAGCAATTTGCTGTTTTTAATCAATCAGGTTTTTCATACAAAAAATCATGATGTTACAAAACATGTAACTGACTTATTTTGTTCTACATTCTCGATTATTTGCCTCAAATTTCTCAAAGTGGTCCCTCATGGCTGCTTTAACATGTCCATAGTTCCTGTGGTTTGCTGACTGGCAAATGACTACTGTATATATGCACTGTATTTTTGACACAGTAATACTTTAAGTGACATAGCAATTATAATGAGTTGAATATCAGCATGTAGCAAATAGTCAAGCCATCCCATCCAGAAGGTGAAGCAAACATCTCAAACAAATTTATTTGCTTTGTTTTGTTCAAAAAATGCAGTGGAAGGAAGTGCAAAGTGTAGCATCAAATTATTGGTGTTGCATAGTTTTTGATGCTCATCAGTTATGAAATTCCTATGCTTTAATGTATTCTGTTTCTTTTTGATGTCCTAAGATGTAAAAAAACAGTTTTGTCAGGTTTATGATATTATTTCGAGGCCGACCTGAAATGGATGTCTTTCTTTGCTGAAGCATCTCTCACTAGCCCATAAAATTAATCTTTTGTGAGCTGAATTCTTTACTCTTGTACTGCCTTTTTCCGTTGGAGTTTTTCACTCTCACCCTAGTTCAAAGGCGATTCTAGCTCACTACGTCCCAGCCTCGATGAAGGCCAAAAAAAAACTCATATAGGGAAAATCGCAGCGGTAGCCATCTCTCCATTGGCACCTGGTCTGCTTCGCTAGTGCCTCTAGGTGGCAACACGACCGCGTGCGGCGGGACGGATCAAAGCCCAGCGTCTCCGTGTCGTCACTAGATGGCACTGCAAAACCGCACTACTCGCGTCCACCCACCTCTCGGCCAGACTCTGCACGAAGCGGCGGTACGTGTCGGCGTGCGCCAGCACGGACACCTGGTGCGTGCGCAGGTGACGGCGGGCGCGCGCCAGAGACATCACTCCAGCCGGTCTGACGTCACTGCCTGCCGCCCAGAGCGCCTCCAGCAGCTGGCGGCGACGTGCATGCGTTCAGAGCACCACCAGAAACGGCTGATGCTCAGTGACTGATGACGGGCGCACCATCATGACGGGCGCGCAGTCAGAGCAGCGCCAGAAACGGCCGACGCTCAGTGACTGATAGCCGGCGCACCATCATGCCGCTGTCACCAACATCGGTGAAATCACCCGTATCTACTTGCATCGGATATAAACAGCTGCCCAGCACATGCAGCTACGCATATTCTATGTCTGTTGGGCAACTAAAGCTTGCGTAACACAGTCAATACGGTGCGTTACTCAAACAGCTGAGATGCCAAACACAAAAACCGAAGCACAAACACCGACGTAGCCAACCGTTAAACGTCAAAACATTCCTACATCCTTAGACCCGTGCGTCAGACCATTCAGCCTATACGCACAATCTAACGTTGTTTTACAGGCCCAACCGCAAAGAAAGCACACACGACACCACCGTCAAATGTCAGCACACAGTTTTGACGGGTGCAAGGCCGGCGCGAGCCCCTCTGCTGCTCAGCCTGCTCGAATGCGATCCGATCGACCACGCTGCAGCCCAGTCTGATCGAATACGCCAAAGGTCACCAGCGGGAGACACGACTGTGCGGCGGACCTAGATGCGGTTTAGCGTTCAGCTCGGTGAGCTGTCGTCCCAATCCGCTGCACTCCAACACGCAACCCACTCTCTTCGACGCGACATCTCCAAAACGGCACACACGGCCCGGCAGGCTTCACCAGACCGACCTAACCTTAGCGCAGGGGGGGGGGGGGGATCACGAGGACACGGAATGTTGCCTTCTCGTGAAAGGCGATCACGGGCGTGGCGGCTACTTTCAGCGCGTGTCTGCCCCGCCAGGGCGGTCAGCCCAGCACCGAGCACCGAGCTGGAGCGCAGGCGCCGCCGGCCACTGACCTGGTCGGGCGGCAGGCGGGGCAGCAATGGCGCCGCGGCGCCGGCCGGTGGCCTCGGCGCGTCCAGCCGCAGTACGCACACCTCGCAGAGGCGCCGGCGCAGCGGTGCTGTCACCTGTCGAGCGGACCGCGCACTGTCAGCCGCCGCCGCGTCACGCCAGGGCCAGCCGACCTCCGGCGCCCGACAGGCGAACGTGAGGTGACGTCACGCACGGGCTGGGCGGGAGCGTATCGGGGGAGACGGCTGCTGGTCACCAGAGCCAGCCGACCTCCGGCGCCCGACAGGCGAACGTGAGGTGACGTCACGCACGGGCTGGGCGAGAGCGTATCGGGGGAGACGGCTGCTGGTCACCAGAGCCAGCCGACCTCCGGCGTCCGACAGGCGAACGTCAGGTGACGTCACGCACGGGCTGGGCGAGAGCGTATCGGGGGAGACGGCTGCTGGTCACCAGAGACAGCCTCCGGGCGCAGGTGGCAGAGGGCGCGAGGGCCGGTAGGCGAGAGGCGGCCGGATGAAAGGCCAGGGATAAAGGATCAGGGAGATCTGACGCACCGGCCGAACAGCGAAGCTCAACAAAAACTGAATATATTTGAGGAAAATAAAGCGGGCGATGTGTGAGGAGGACGGAACAGACGATGATGTGAGGGGAATGGAAAACAATGTCTGTAAAGAATACTGAATGGGTGCACACGGGCAAGACAGCAGCCGGCAATAATTGACACAACAGCACACAGTACACAGCAGTGGAAGTTTACACACTGTCCCCGATGACAGCCACCACAGAGGACTGCGCTCGGCCTCTTCCCCCAGCGCCCCACACTCCGGCCACCTGGCCCCAGCGCAGTGCCCCGACAGCTGTCCCGGTGCCGCGCCTCGCCCGATGGCCTTCTGACCTTGCTCCAGCCGAGCGCGTCGAGCAGGCGGCGGCAAGCGCGCGCCGCTAGCTCGGAGAGCGGCCGGTGTCGGGAGGTAGCCCGTTCAGCGACGGCCGACGTCAGGCTGGCCAGCTCGGCCGAGCGCAGCAGCTGGTCTGTGTAGCCGCCGGCCGCGGCCGCTTCCACCAACTGTGCCGTCCAGAGCAGGCAGAGCCGGTCCGTGTCCGCTAGCGACTCCGGCTGCCGACGAGGTCATACAGGGGGTAGGCTCGGCACGCTGCGCAGATTGTGTACTTGGAGGGCCTCGCAACCAGTTTGGGAATCGCATGGGAATGCGCGAGAAGCAAATCAGATTCAGTCAATCCATATATTTGTTTTGATTGATCGGCTAAATCCGATTTGCTTGGCGAAGAATCCCCATGCACTTGGCAAGCATGTATTAATGTGCGCGAGTGAGGATATCCGGAGCCAGGTCTGGTCAGCCACGCGCCGGTAATGACATGTATCCAACCTAACGGCACTTACACATACTCCTGTGTAAACCTCCGCCTGTTTCCTACGCGCTTACCAAAACACTGACGCGTGCAGTTTCCCCACATGTCTAGCGCCCCCTCCCTTCCTGGGGCGGTCGGTCGGCCGACTGACCTGGCGCAGCAGACGGCCCAGTAAGCCCAGCAGCGTGCCCAGATTGTGTCCGGTGGAGGGCGCCAGCGCCGGTGTGCTGCGCTCCGTCCGCATCAGCCGACTCGTGCTCAGAAAGTGCCGGTGCCTGGCGGCGAGGCGGCCGCCGGTTAGCAAAGGCAGCAAGGGTAGCACGACCGGCGCGGGGCACGGGACACACGCGAAACGGGGAGCGGCTTCACGATGGAAAAGTGAGGGCGGGTTTCACACTCACGCTCGGTAAACGTGACCTACATCCAGCTCAAAACAATGTGTTCATATGTATTAGCGCAAACTACCAAAGTTCAAGCGTGCGGACGGCATTTGCTCCAAAACGAACCGACTGAACTCACCTATGCTCGACATCCAAAAAGTGTTAGACAGTCCTGACTGTACGCGGTCTGGACATGACTACTGTGAGCAGACACAAGGCATTCCGCGAGCTGCCCGAGCATAGGCCGCTCTGAATAACCTGAACACAGCCCGGCATCCCCAGCGGCGGCACCGAACACAGTCCAGCATCACCAGCGGCGGCACCCGCCCGCACTCCTCCCATCACAACTCACTTGGAGCAGTGCGAGTAGAGCAGCGTCACCACCATGTGCCGGACGAGCGGGTGCTGGCGCGCCAGCCGCTCGTCGTCCGGCCGCAGCGACACGGCCAGCAGGTCGACGATGCTCGGATTTAGCGCCCACAAGCCGATGATGGAGTTGCGTGTGCTCGCTACGGAAGAGACAGAAAAGGGCGGCGTCAGGCGAGCCAGGGGCGGGGCGGCGGGGTGCAGCCGTCTTGGTGCGGCACGTGCCGCACTGGTTGGCCGGTACGGGTTTGCTTACGATAGTTGAATAGAGCCATTAAAGTCGAATGCCATTTGTAGGCTGAGTAAATGGGTGATTTCTGAGCGATTGAATTCGTCTCAGCAGATTCAGTCGCCGTTCTGCGCCCGTCCAGCAAAGCCGCGTCCGGGCGTGAGTCTAAGTCCGCACAGATTCAGTCGCCGTTCTGCGCCCGTCCAACAAAGCCGCGTCCGGGCGTGAGTCTATGTCTTCACAGATTCAGTCGCCGTTCTGCGCCCGTCCAACAAAGCCGCGTCCCGGCGTGAGTCTTAAGTCCTCAAAACGCTTGTAGCACCGAACGCCACAAAGGATCCACCACACGAGGTCGGGGACTGGCTTTCTGGCGTCTTGGCGGGTTCGCCAGCGCCCCTGACACACTGACTTCGGCCTGTGTTCTGGTGGCTTCATTGCGTCATCCCTGTACAGGAGCGTGCCTCGAGGCCAGCAGGGTCACACTCCAGCCAGCAGGTCAAGGTCCGCGCCAGCACCACGTCACGCGTCGTCACTCACCCAGCTCGGCCAGCGCCTGCAGCGAGAACGTCACCAGCTGCAGCCCCTCTGACGGCCGTCTGACGTCACCGGCCGTGACGTCATCGGCCGTGACCAGGTCGGTAGGGATGCCGGTGAGCGCCAGGAAGCTGGCCTGGTGATGGACGGCGGGTCAGAGCCGGGACTTAGCACCGGCAGGGACGGCTGGGTTCGGGAGCCGCGGGAACACCCGACCAGGGGCGTGAGAACCTCTGGCCAGGACGCAGGTGCTGACGCGGCAGTGAGGCAGAATGGAGGCATGTGGCGACACAGAGTACCACGTCATGAGGGCAGAAGGTATAACGGTGGTCAGAACGCCACACGGCAGTGAAAAGTTCACGGTGTGGGATGATCGCGACCTAAAAATTCGCGACGTTCACGGCGCAGGGTTCTGGGGATGCGTTACCTCACAGAACAGAACTCACAGAACACACATTACCTCCACATCCGACATGGCTGCTGGACAGAGGCAGGGACATTTAACAGCCCAGGGGTTCATGACAAACACATCTCAGGTTCCATCTGACGTACAAGGGACAGAGACCGAGAACATTTCCCACGATTCTGACGCCATCCCTCCCCATGCGGACGCCACGTACGTGCAGGTCGCTGAGCACGTGGCGGTACACGTCTTGCAGCAGTGGCACGTTCTTGAGCCCGAGCGCCGCGTGGTACGTGGCGAGCACGGCGCTACGGACCTGCCGGAAGGGGGGGGGGGGGGCGAGGGACGTTAGATGGCTGAGGGCAGGGGCAGGGGCAGGCGAAGGACGGATGCGTACTCATTGCAGCATTCTCCTGCATTCTCTGTTTTCTCTGAGAGATTATTCACATATTCATAGGACGCTTCCAGAGGTTATTGGCCATCTTGTGACGATAGCAGCGGGAGCCGCTGATCTGCGCTGTAGGCAGCAGCCAGAGGTCGCCGACCTGTTCTGAAGATGACAGCAGGACATCACTGACCTGCTATGAGAGGCACAGCCAGAGGTCACTGACCTGTTCTGAGGGCGACAGCCGGAGGTCCCGCAGCGGAGACTGACGGCCAAACAGTCGGTTCATGAGATCTGCCGGTAACACCGTGCTGGAATGCCTCAGTACCTGCCGAGACACAGGTCAGGTCAGGTCAGGTCAGGTCAGGTCAGGTCAGATCAGGTCAGATTACCGTGAACGCTGGGTCATACGCGAGGCCAGGAAAGGCGCCAGACCAGCACTCCCAGACGTCCAGAAGCGGCCAACGAAGCCGATCACGTGGCCGCAGGCAGGCGTTCGACACGGTGAGAGCCAGGCCGATTTTCAGTCCCGTCTGCCACTCCCTTCTGCCTCCACCGACGATGGGACTCCACCCGGGCGACAGTGAACAGGCACCGGGGGGTAGACGACGACCGCACTGAGCCCGCAAAACAAGCAAGCCCGCACGCACGCACGCACGCACGTACGCACGCACGCACGCACGCACGCACGCACACTCACACCCCACCGACCAACAGCCATCATTCACACACACATTACAGCCGTGCAACTATTTACGACGACGCTCAAACCCCTCTCCCCCCCCCCCCCCCCTCCCGCCGGCGTGACCTACCGTCTCCAGCAGGCGACAGACGGCCACCAGCGTGAGGTCGGCCAGTCCGGCCAGGCGCGCCAGCACCTCGTCCACGAACGTCATCAGGTGGGCCACATCGGCGCCTAGCCGCTGGCCCAGCAGCGTCACCAGGTGGCCCAGCGCCGCACACCCTGCGGCGACGGGCGGCACGTCAGCGCACGCCGGAGACATCCGCCAAGTCCGGGGCGGCGGCCGCTTGGCTGGGACAGCCGCGCCCAGCACGAGTCACGTCCGGTGCGTGGATGCCACAGTGGGGACGTGTCCACAGCCACCAGCTGCTTGGTGTTCGGACGCGCTGACATGGTCCGGCTGAGGTAGGCTGTCAGCTGTTCAAGTATCACGAAGCAGATGATGCCAGTGCCTGTGGGTTGCACGCATCGGTCGTAACCAGCTGTAGTTAACTGCAGAAACGTGGAGACTGGAGTTAACTGCAGACGCATGGGGACTGGAGTTAACTGAAGAAGCGTGGGGATCAGGTCAAATCGATCACATCAGACCTCCACCTGCGACGCCTGGGTGCTCAGTTCGCTGGGGCCGTACCTGTGACGACCAGCTGGTCCGAGTGATGGCGCCGACCGACAGCCAACAGGCAGCCGACGATGACGCGTAGGTTGTGCCCGCACGCGGGCCAGCCGAGCTCTGTGCCCGGCGCCGGCCCGGCCGCCTCGCCCAGCGCCACCATCACCGACGTAAACACCCTGCCGGCACCGGCCGCCGGCGTTAGACCACGGCGGGCCGGCCGGGTCAGAGGTCAGGGACTGGGAAAGTACAGGAGTAGGGGCGAGCATGGGCAGGGGAGGGACAGGGACAGGCGAAGTGCAGGGATGGGGGGTGCGGGGACGGGGAGGCGCATGTGCAGAGGCAATGACGAGGCAGGCAATGAGGGCAGGCTTTAGGTGAAAGACGCGTCAACCGCGTCAGGGGGTCAACCGTATCAGGAGGTTCACCATATCCGGTTCAACCGTGTCAGGGGTCAACTGCGTCAACTGTGTCGGGCACCGGGGTGGCACCCGAACCGGCCAGCAGCAAGCCATTCAGGTTTGGTCCCAAACTGGGTCCAGATCAGGCCGACTCCAGGCTGATTACAACACAGGCCGCGTGTTTGACGATGCTACGAGTCTGTACTCAATGCCCTCGGGAACTGACTCAGCTCTTACAGTTCAAGCCGATATCTGCAATAGTGTAAGTGTAGACGACGTATGGCATATCAGTGAGCGGGTGTGGTGCATCATTCGCTCTCCACAGCCCGGTCGCTTTCCTTGTGGCGCAACTCCTACAACAATCCTTTTGGCAGCTTACCACGTGGGCTGTCAGAGACAGGAAAATCCACCCGCAGCCAGACTGCAACGTGCGATGACCTAATGACGGAACGTTTTAGACGAGGTCTACGTATTTCTCAGACTACCTTGGAACAGAAGCTCAGAACAGAGCAGCCCTCACCCACTTGCTACTAGACCGTCCCTCACTTGATCAGCTCGACGATTTTCGAGGCGGACTCTTGACAGAGAAGCTGCGTCTCGTCGTCCGGGTCCGGCTGGTCGTCGAGCTCCACCAGCTCCTGGAAACGGCATACAACGGTGTACTGAATCTCAACAATCCTACTAGATGCCACAAGTCAACACTGTGGTCCATTGCCAAGACCAAATCTAGCTCCAGGCACGCCTGTCTGACAAGGAAAATCAATGACAGCAGTTAATGCACGGGTTAAAGCGCGTCCATCGCATCCATTTTCCTGCCACAGCCCGGCATTTCACACTCACCACAAAAGCTTGCACATTACACACGCCGCAAAACAGACAAGTCTATGGATTTCAGCATTGCTCTCACGACACATCTCAAGACAGAATATATCTAAGAGAGAAGCTCAACTCCAGACTCCATCCCCACAGCCCACCCGGGCCAGGTCGGGGTCCTCGCCGCCACCGGCCAGACCCGAGCGGACCTTCCCAGCCAACGTCGCTCACCTGGGCGTAGCTCCCCAGTCACCGCTGCTCACTTGGGCGTAGCTCTCCACAACCGCTCACCTGGACGTAGCTCTTAAGCCACCACCGCTCACCTGGGCGTAGCTCTCCCGCCACCGCCGCTCACCTGGGCGTAGCTCTCCATGTCCTCGATGAACTGGCCAGTCAGCAGGACGCCGAAGGCGGCGTCAGCCGTCCAGAACTGGCGCAGTTGGCGCAGCGAGCGCGAGGCCAGCTGTCCCACCCACTGCGGCTGCGACGGGTCGATGTGCCAGCCCACCAGGATGTCGACCGTGTCCTGAGCAGGCACACGGTACTGGGTCAGCGAGTGCGGTGCCGCATAGACTCGGGGCGGGCGACCGACAGAGCGACGGTCTGAGCTGGGACGGCACCGGACAGGCGGAGTCATCTGGCCTTACCGAGGGCTCTCGAGGCATGCTTGCAGAGCGGCGGTCTGAGATGTGACGGCACCGGACAGGCGGGGTCGTCTGATCTTACCGAGGGCGCTCGGGGCACGCTTGCAGAGCGTCGGTCTGAGATGTGCCGGCACCGGACAGGCGGGGTCGTCTGATCTTACCGAGGGCTCTCGAGGCATGCTTGCAGAGTGGCGGTCTGAGATGTGACGGCACTGGACAGGCGGGGTCGTCTGATCTTACCGAGGGCTCTCGAGGCATGCTTGCAGAGTGGCGGTCTGAGATGTGCCGGCGCTGGACAGGCGGGGTCATCTGACCTTACCGAGGGCTCTCGAGGCAAGCTTACAGAGCGGCGGTCTGAGATGTGCCGGCACCGGACAGGCGGGGTCATCTGACCTTACCGAGGGCTCTCGAGGCAAGCTTACAGAGCGGCGGTCTGAGCTGGTACCGGGACCTGGGTCTGATGGTCCGACCTTGACGTGGGTCTCGACGCATGGTGACAATCGCACTTCGAAACGATATAAAACCAGATCTGTGGGCGAGGGGCAACCGTGCGGCGGGCGGAGCACTCTCTAAACTGAGTCTGACAGAAACGCGAAAAACCGAATGCGTCCGTCTGACCTCGACGTAACGTCCAGACGAGACGCCTCCCGGCCTTGAAAGCGGTCTGACCTTGAAGTGGGGCTGGAAGGCGGTCGGGTGACGCTGCAGGGCCGTCATCAGACAGCTGACGTTCGCCTGCATGAGGTCGGCGCTGTCCTGCGCCTCCAGGCAGGCCTGCAGCTGTTCCAGCACCAGGTCTGCCACAGGCGCCAAGCTGCGCGACTCGTCCAGGCGGAACGCCTGCCACAGGCGCGCAGGCGTTAGGTGTGGGGGACGGGCCGCAGTGAGGAGACAGTGGCAGGCGCGACACAGGTCAGGGATCCTACGGGAGGGGCAACGAGAGTGGGTGTGCGGGAAGGACGAAGCACAGGCTGCGCCACTGGACAGCGTGAGGTAGGGGAGGGGTCAGGCAGGGGAGGGTACAGGGCAGACAAAGCACAGCTCACAGTCCTTGACAGCAGAGGTTCGGGACAAATGTAGCATCTGACGACGATGCAAGCCCAGGTACACGACATATCACTGAGGCCAAGTTGACGAACGGTGGTAAAGCTAACGAAGCCAGAAAGGTTTACAAAAAAAACAAACTAAGGAGTAAGCTGAAATACCACCTGCCAACGCAGATTTCGCGTAAAAAATATTACATTAGGGAAGAACGGAAAGCGAAAATGCAGCAGCAAAGACAGCAAACTGTTAGGAGTCTAACAAACGGATGAGAGCAAATAAACCCCAAGCAGTATCACACAAATCATAAGGATTTGTGTGTGGGGTGACGCGGCTCCTGGTGAGCCGTGGCACCCCACACACGGCGCCTCGAGGCGTCAGCTGAGGCGGGCCGGCGCGTCACTGCGCTAGGGGACACAGAGCGGCTGGCAGGCTGCAGAGCACGCCCACCTCCTCCAGCGAGGCCAGGTAGTACTTCTTCATATTCTGCGAGCTCGCCTGCTTGAAACGGTCGAAAATCCAAATGACAAACCTGGAAATCGCACAGACCACGCTGCTTTAGTGCTCTGAGCAGATGCTTCGGGAAACACATTTAGACTATGTTCAGGTGCACACAGCAAAGAACTGGATTCATTGTAATGCCTCAGGTCTGCAACAACTATAAGACTAGCTGATAATTCAGGCCCCACCAATTATAATGGAAAAGCTTTTCTGAACGCCTAGCTGCAGCATTTACACTCATGCAGGACTGGTAAAGCCTTAGCTCCAGCACAGAGCCAAACACCTGTTGCATCATAAGCATAGTCAGACAAGGTATCTGCGAGCTGCGAGGTCTGGTTCGCGGCCTCACCGCTTGGCGTCGCTGGCTGCAGCCAGCACCAGACAGAGCCGGCCGATGACGCCGGCCACCTGCAGCTTGCAGGCGGCGCCAGGCGCCGTCTTCAGCGCGTCCTGCAGCCAGCTGAGCAGGTAGTCAGAGGCGCGGCGCACGTAGCGGCCATTCTCCGGCTGCAGCACCGCCTCCTGTTGGCCGCGGGGAGAAGCTGAGGTGCGGACCACGATCGCGAGGCGGCGAGACGGCGGGCAGCGCACGCACAGCGCGAGCGTGGGCTGAGTTCAATGGCATGTGGCAGTGAGGCAGTGTTTGAGGGCTGCGCGGCTTACAAAACAACAGCGGGGAGCCGGCCACCGACATCCCGCCAGAGACTATGTCAGCAACACTGCCACCGGCACCAGAGCAGGCTGACTAGCATTTGAGAACATCAACACGTGCGAAGGGCAGGGGGCAGTAATGTCCCATAGAGGGGAGCAGGGAAGGGCGGACGAGCTGACCGTGTACTGACCTGCAAGGCGCGGGCCGTGGCTTGGTGTTTCTCTGGTGCCTCGTCCCGATACAGCCGCCGCAGCAGGCTGGAGATCTTGCTGTCGTCACTGCGGGAGTACTCTACGGCGGGCAGAAGCGACATTAGACACAAGCTAGAACGGGCGGCCAGGCAGCAAAACTTCAGATGTGCTCGATGTAAAAAGATATGTTTTGTGCTAATGGGTGAACAACAGACCCAGGGACTTCCTGACACTTTCTGGTAGAGGTGAGCAATTATGGAACCACAGGCATAACCATGACAATGGATTACAGACATATGCAAACGACGCATTTCCATGCATACCCAGGAATTTAAAACAAACATTATAGCAAATGTTCTAGTCTCTTATACATGGGTGACAGCAAAACCTTCACTGACTGCAATGACGAACTTCACCACTGCAGTGAAGCCACTACCAAGCTAGACACAAAAGCAAAATAGCCACTTCGTCACCCAAAAACAGCTAGATATGGCACACTGACATACCACCTACCAATGATAGCCCACAGGCGAACCCAAGATCACAGATTGCAAGCTGCCGGTGTCGATATTCCGTGCCCATTTCACCCCCTCCCCCCCCCCCCATATGTCCTGTCTCGCACAACCCAGCCCAGCACGGGACACAGCCTGCACCCTGCGCCAGCTGTCAGCCTGGCCAGATCCCCCTCCCCCCCCCCCCCCCAGACCGCTGCTGTGGGGAGGTCTGCGCCAGCTATCAGCCCCGCCAGGAGAGGCGAGGCTCACCAGTGGTCTTGCGCGGCCGGGCGGGCTCGGGGGGCTTGCCGTCGTCCGAGCCCGAGTCCGACTCCTTGTGCGCGGCGCGCGGCCCGTCATCTGCCCGGCAGATCAGGGCACGGTCATCGGGCTACTCACCGCCGGGGTCGTTGGAGACGGCCCGTCACGGGCATTCGGCAGATTACGATCTCACAGTGGTAGGAGCCCAAGGAGATGGCACGGTCAATTATGCTGCTGCTGTAATAAACATGCCGCCATAAAATGATACTACTTGAGGATATGCATCACGTTATAACTTTCGTGGTCAGATAGAAAAAGTTGTCGTGTACTAGCACTCACAAAAATCAGTCATGTGAGCACTATCCCACATGTTACAAAGTTGTGCACAGTTTGCATTGCTGTGCACAAACACTGAAAAGTTATTCACAAGTCTGCAGGGAAATACACAAGCGGCAGTGGCAATAAAGCACAATGGCACCTAACATGGCCTTCTCAGCAGCAGCAAATGCCTGTGGGCGCGGACCGGCGTGCTGACCCCGCGGCGGTATCTACAAGTCCAGGGGCCCACCCTGTCAGCTCATCATGCTCCCTGTGACCGGCGTGCCGACCCCGCGGCGGTATCTACAAGTCCAGGGGCCCACCCTGTCAGCTCATCATGCTCCCTGTGACCGGCGTGCCGACCCCGCGGCGGTATCTACAAGTCCAGGGGCCCACCCTGTCAGCTCATCATGCTCCCTGTGACCGGCGTGCCGACCCCGCGACGGTATCTGCAAGTCCAGGGGCCGACCCTGTCAGCTCATCATGCTCCCTGTGACCGGCGTGCCGACCCCGCGGCGGTATCTACAAGTCCAGGGGCCCACCCTGTCAGCTCATCATGCTCCCTGTGACCGGTGTGCCGACTCCGCGGCGGTATCCACAAGTCCAGGGGCCGACCCTGTCAGCCCATCATGCTCTCTGTGACCGGCGCGCCGTACCCGCGGCGGTATCCGCAAGTCCAGGGGCCCACCCCGTCAGCTCATCATGCTCCCTGTGATCGGCGCGCCGTACCCGTGGTTACGTCCACCCGTCTAGGGGCCCACCCTGTCAGCTCACCATGCTCCCTGTGATCGGCGCGCCGTACCCGCGATTACGTCCACCCGTCCAGGGGCCCATCCTGTCAGCTCATCATGCTCCCTGTGATCGGCGCGCCGTACCCGCGGTTACGTCCACCCGTCCAGGGGCCCACCCTGTCAGCTCACCATGCTCCCTGTGATCGGCGCGCCGTACCCGCGATTACGTCCACCCGTCCAGGGGCCCATCCTGTCAGCTCATCATGCTCCCTGTGATCGGCGCGCCGTACCCGCGGTTACGTCCACCCGTCCGGGGGCCAATCCTGTCAGCTCACCATGTTCCCTGTGACCGGACGCGTGCGTCCCGCCGCCGCCGCCGCGACCGCCGCGCCGCTGACCCTCAGACCGGTACTTGGACCGGAAGGCGCGCTCGCCCTCGTACTTGCGGCCGTTCTCACGGCGCACGCCGCGCGCGCCCTCGGTCGCTACACCGGTAGCGCCACCTGTACCGCGCTTGCGGAACTTCAGTCCGCCGCCACGGCCGTAAGACGGCGGCGGCGGCCGGTCCGTGTCATCCGCCTTTGACGCCAGCCTGAACGTGCATGGGAGGCCCTGTGGTTGAAAATGCAGATGGGGTGTACTGTGCAATGTTTCAGACAATTTCAATGTGAAAGTTATGTGGTGACAATGGATTGGATTTTAGCAAAGATGTTGTTAAGTTCCAGCTGAGCACAATATAATCACAATGCAAAATTGATCTCTGCAACATCCACAGTAAGTTCATGACTGCATCTTGTTTGTTCTGTGCACATGAAACTTGCAGCAAATAGAGAAAGATACTAATTGTTCTGCATGGTTTGGAATGTTGCCCAAAAACTTATCCTATAACAGGTTTTTAACATCACTATAACATTCAAGACAGTGTTTGAACCATGATAAATGGTAATACTGCTGGTCCAAAATGACACCACCCAAGGCAACTTTCTACTCCTCAGCTAAAGAAACCAATCAATGAAAAAATGTGGAGCCAAACTTTTTGTAATGTTTACTGCATTAAAATACATTGTACTGCAATCATTCCTAAGATGCAGGACAAAAAGAGACAAGACTCAAAGAATCACCTAATGGAGCACCACCATTCAGGATCTCCCAAGATTACCAGAAGCAAAGCCATCAGTGACCTTTCCATATGTTGTTGATCAATTTTGTGCATGTTAATTGTCCTGTAAGTAATATAAGGGTGTGCATTTTAGCATGTTACTCTAACTGCTCTGACCCTCACCCAGCTACTCTAATGTTTCTAAAGACCATCTTCTGAAAATATCATGCGGAGACAGTCCAACAGGTACCACCCAAGATGTTTAATAGACAGGTCTTTCCGTAATGGACTCCCGGCATCAGCTATTTAACATGACCATTCAACATATTTAGGTTTTGTTGCACCATCAATTGAATGAGGGTGGATAAAACCTTATCCCATGGCATGTTCACAGATATTCAAAAACATATCAAGATATCAGCACAAATTTTTTAGGACCTGGTTATTTAACAAGTAAATACCATAGTATCAAAACAACAACCATAAATTGATTGCCAATCCAGAGTGAGTCAGAGCTTTGCCAATTTTTTTTTTACAAAAGCAGATTTCTTAAGACAAATTGACAAAGATGCAGACTGGGAGAATATATTTGATATGCATCCACAGGATGTAAGCCAGCTACTTCCTCATTCATACACCAGTCATGGTATACACCAGCACCTGATGTTAAAAAAGGGCATTCTACATCAATTGCCATTTATAAGGCAGAACATATCATGAATAATTGTAAAACAGATACATCCATACTCTTATCTTCAAACTTAAATCATTGCAACAGCAAACATCTGAGCACTGCAAACACACAGCAACTGCAACCCCCGCAACATCACCACATTATTGGTGCATGGTCACAACATTCCTGCGCATCAAGAACCATATTTACATGTGTGCTGCCTTAAACATGACAAATGATGTACAATGCTCTTTTCTAACATTAGGCACCCATGTATACCTATACAGACACACTTGCAGTATTTCTGCAATACAGGAGATCAAAATATTGTCATGTCAACTAACAAAAAATATAAACAAAATGTGCTCAATACTTGACTTACTCAGATTACAAGAGCATGAAACAAGATACACTTTGAATGACAGAGGAGAAAATCTGTACCAATATTTAAGCACTTGCCCACTGCCATGACTGAGTTATGACTTAGAGTGCATTGTAGGACACATATCCCGTATTCTGGTACTGAGGTCCAGGCCTGCAGCAGCTGGCAGAGGGACTCAGTTCTCCTAGCGATGTGATGGAATGGCAAGAGACAATTCATTTCACAAAATCGCCTCACTGTTGCTGGGTTGCCGCAACAGATGACTAAGCTTATGTCCGAAACATGCCATCAATTACCTAACAAATATGAACACCAAAACGTCTATCAAAGCTTAAACTCTTCATTTACCCAGCAAATGCGTCTATCGAAGCTGGAACTCTTATAAGCTGTTGCCCACTAGCAAGGTCAAATGGATGTTATGTTTGGTCTTACTTCGCAACATACTTCTGCTCTTACCTAAGGAATTATGGACAACCTGTTCTGCCGAACTACGCGATCAACAACAGCCACACACTGGCTAAACCGCACTTCTCACGAAACTGATTTTATCAACTGATTTGTTTGAAACCAGACTGAAGCGGTGTCAGTGACTTGAAACCAAAATCTCCTTTTGACTTAGTCACCTATTTTTTGACATCATATTCTGCCCGTTATATCCTTATTTCGTGTTCCTAGGCAATCTTTTTCGGTCAATATTACGTCATATCATCAAAATGAGAAAAAGGTATTACGGATGGGCGTAATCCGACGCGTGTGTTTCAAATAACGAAGTGTTCGTCAGCAATCAACACGTCCTGGAGCATATTTAGTACGTATTCTTGCTAAGAGGGGAACGGTGTTTAGAGCCGATTCGTGCCAGAACCAGCGGAGGTTAGGACGCCTGGTTACTAAACAATGCAGCCGGTAAGCGAAGTCTCAAAAGAAGAAATGAGGCTATTAAGAGGTGAGCCTCATAAATTTCTTGCCATTCGATGGGAGTAAAACCTGCACCATTTTGGGGACCGAATTCTTATTTGATTGCGAGTTGCTCCCACGACGCAGCATGGTTGGTCGGTTAGTAGTCAGCGGGGGGGGGGGGGGGGTTGGGGGAGGTTAGGAACGTGCCTGGGGAAGCTCTTGCAAGTAATTTGGAGAAGAGTGTTATCTACCTGTTGAGTACGATATTGATATGCTCTGGACTACAGGGCCTCGGGAAAGATCGGCACCCGTGAAGTGCGGAAAATTGGATACTGGTTTCGAGGTATACCCAGCCAGCATGTCTAATTGGGATCCATACGAGTCCCAGCTGGACAGTCATATGGGGCCCACTTGGGCTTTCCACTTTGGCCCTATGAGGGCATGTTATGGGTAGACACCTGGGCCCCATATCGGTGGCCTTTGGTGGGCTCATGTGAGGCCTAACTGGAGCACACATGGGGCCCATCCAACGTTTACAACCGGGACCCACGTGGGTCTGAGATGGGCCACTGAATAGGGTACACCTGGGACTGCTACCTCGGGCCCATGCGGGCATGTCATGGGCAACCAACTGGGTCCCACATGGAAGCCCATATGGGGCCCTTGTGGGGCTTAGCTGGGACACACGGGACCCACCTGGGTAGCCCAGATTCGACCCACCTGGGCAGCCCAGTTGGGACCCACCTGGGAAACTCAGGCAGGACCCATACGGGCCAGTCAAGCTGGGACCCATGTAACCAGCCCAGATGGGACCCACATAGCTAGCCCAATGGGACTTTTTTAACCGCCCCAGATGGGCCTCAGTTGGGCTTCACCGGTCTGCCATTTTAAATTCCATCTGATTGAAGGACCGCCACAACTCCAGGCAGACCGCTTCATGTCATCGATAATAAGCCAGGTCAAAGTTTATTCATCATGTATTTGACCGAAATTGCCTCGACAACAGCACCCTTGCGCAGACCATACACTTCCCTCTTATCATGCCCGATGCGACAATCACTAAACCATGGAACAGGCGTTAGGTGTTGCTGTTGCCAGCGTTGTCAGCGCGATGTTTCCTGCCGTCGACACAGTCTCCCGCCGAAACCATTTTCTTGGTTCGTATCCCGATTTGTTGCGGAAAGCACGGTAGCGCGGTGTGTTAAGCAGGATGGCCCCCTGAAAATGGAGATATTCCGTACCTGAGATCGTGTCATGTCATTGGGGCTTTACGGCGCACCCAGATGCTGAGGCTATATGGCATCGCCCGCCCCTCACCCTGGCAGGAGGGGCGGGCGCCGCGGGAAATCGAACCCCGTATCTCTGGTTTTCCACACGCGCAGCGGTTAACGCAGACGCCTTAACCACTACACTACGGGCGCCCCCAGTACCTCAGATCGCCGCCCACGGAAGCAGTGCAGAAGTTTACTACGCATGCACTCTCCCGAAGTACATGTATGGAAACAACTTAACAAGAGGGCACTTACATGGAGTACTTGCATGAAAGTCGACTTGAGTTATGTCTTCCTGCGGTCACAATACCGACATAAAACTGTTCATGGTGCCATATCTGAGGGTAATCATGCGAAACGTCTATATTTTATGAGCAAGAAATGGTGTGTTGTATTTGATTTTCCCTGGATGATCCTCACACGCTTATCAGCAATTATTAGGGCGACTGGAGGGTAGCAGCTGTCAGCTGTCTATACGGGAATACGATACTGTCTCCATAGATCATGTTGTTTTAGAGAGGCTGCTTTCCGATCCACTCACTCATTACGGGATGAGTTTGGGTGGTATCAGGCACTCGCTCTCTGCCTCCACAATGGATGGTCTACGGCTGATGGCAACAAAAGCAGTCGTCCATGAGTAATAGGTGCACTTGTTAAAATGTCTGAAATTAGTATAAACACAGCGAACTTCGAGAAAACACTGACAGCTTACCTTCAAAGAGAATTCTGCCACTTTTTTCCTGTCACGATTCCAAAACTTGTTTTGGTTATATTTACCCTGGAAGGGGTTAAGAGAGATAAAATAGATAAAATGGGCTTGTTTTCGTCATGTTCACCTTGTGGAATTACCAACAATTGTGGTAAGGAAATCCTCTCTGTAAATTTTGGCAAAATTGTACGTTAAGTACGAGCTGAACATTACAAACCCATATGATACAATACCTGCTTTCCCAAGCATGATGATCCTGGAGCAGCACCAGTTGTCTTTGACGGATGCGTCCGAATGCTGTGACACCTTGCTGGCAGGTATACTGCTTCCGGGCGACCAGGAGCAGTGCTCAAGCAGCGTTCTAGAGCAGAGCAGCCGCAGTTCTCAGCAACATCTCAGCAGAACAACAGTGAAGCGTTTCTTCCTCTTACCAAGGACTGGGGCTGATGCCCATCCCTCCCCCTCGAAATCCGCAACAGCGAACCTCATCCTGCCGGAAAAAAAACACACAAAAGGGCCGTAAACTGAAAAATACCAATAGCACGTCGCTGGCATATTGCAAGTTAGCACATCATGAGAAACAGGCGATGAGATGCCGCAAGTGTATTATCTCATGTGTAAAAATTCATGCAGGTCCAGGGCCTCGTGTAAGACCTTTTTAATGAGCGAGGGGGAGATTTCTTACCATATTTCATACATAATTAGCCTCGCACGACGATCTACACAATGACGGGAACCGACTTCATTCAATTGAGGTTCATTTAACTAAGGGAGGGGGTTTCCACGCCACTGGGTGGGGAGGGATACAAACACTGGAGGGATTTTCGCCCTCTTTTCAGCATGGGTGCACGGCATCCTGCACGGCACAGCACGGCCCTGCGAGTGTGCCGGTCGTATCAAACATGCCAAATGAATTAAAGGAATCCTGCCACACGAAAGCACAATGCGCGAAGCAGAAATGGTTTCGCACAACGCACACTCACCGTGCGCCCAGCACGCGAACGAAAACACTTCCAGGAGGCGTCCTCCCCACGCGCCAACCTGTCTGGGGAATGTAGCCACCCTTCCCGAGCTGGGCACCGGAACGGGCCCGACGCCCCCGGCCGCCAGCCGCCAGCATAACAACCAGGGCGCCGGGGCGGGGACAGTTGTTACCAAGCATGGGCGAGGGAACGACCGCGTTATTTGGAGGGGGGCTTTGGGATCGAGTTCGCTTCCCAACAACTGAGATAATTTAGCAGCAGGCTTGCAACGGTGCATGGGATAAAACAACACTTCAAATGCTTCTGCCCCCCCCCCCCCCCCCCAATGCTTGCCAACTTCTGTCGCTCCTGCAAGCAGGAAGGGGCACGGGGTGGGTCAGCGCCGGCAGAAGCGAAGGCGGTGTCCGGCACAACGGGGCGTAATTGATGGGAGGGCGGGTCTGGACAGGTGGACTGGCGGCATTGCCGGTGTGGTGTCGGCGAACGACACCGTCCGCCGCTCCGCGCTTCGGTGCAAGGATCATGCCTTGTTTATGAGGGAATCTCCATACTCAGTAGCATTGATGCATGGGGCATGGCCACTCAGTCCCAGGTTGAAATCATAGCTTAATTGCAGTAGCTTCGAATCAAGCCACAACAGTACGAACTAGCAGGCACTGATCGTCAGTCGTGTGCTGCTGTTGCACGCAACACTAACGTTAGAAACCTGTTATCGATCACCGCCAAGACAAGGATTCCAGGACAAAAGCGTGCTTGGAAAAAGACTTGTGGAATCTCTTCCAACAAATGTGCGTAATACGTGCGACGAAGAGTGCGTATGGTAAAAGAACGTGCGAAAAGGCTGTTACCAAGGACATCGTAAGCAAAGGCTTGTGTTGTTTTAAAAAACGCCCGCAAAATATTTGTTTATGGCAAAACGTTGACGGGGAGGCAAAAGCTCCAAGGCAAAGGGTTTGCATGCGTAAAGCTAAATAAAAAAAATTATCTTAAACAACCTTGGGCACGTGAATGCTGGCAACACAAACTTGCTTGACAAAAACACGCACGTAAAAATTACCAAGCATCAGTGACGCGGCATTGGTTGTTCGCATGCAAGGCACTCGCATGAGGACGTTTCAGAAAAAAAATGTATCGCCCGAATATCAAATTATTCACGCCACCTCTCCGATGTCGTCTCAATACTGCGTGTGAAGGATGGATTTGTCTCTCAGTCATGGAATGAAGCCTGGCTATTGTTAAAGGGAGTGTGTCTAATGTTTTCGGTGTTCTCCCTACGCGCCTAAGGGAAGTTTGACAATGATCTATGGTTAATTTTGGTTGCTAAATGCGCATTTGGGTCTTGCGACAGTTTTGATTTATTTATTTTTATCGATCCTATCGATGGCTGGTCGTGAACAAATGCAATCCTAAAAGATATACCATTCCGCAGGTAGGAAAGGACGAGTGCATTGGCTTATATGTTGCGAGTAACCACGCGGTATAGACATGGCCATTATTTTGTTTGCTAGGTAATGAAGGCATTATTTCCGTTGTCAGGTGATTTACCATTAGTTCGTGGTTGCTTACAGAGCCAGGTTACACAAGGCTTGCTTGCACAAGCTCCTGCTCATCGTTGGGGTCTGCGTATCAGGTGCATACCTTTAGCCTTGCTTACACAAGGCTAAAACCATCCTTAGCCTTCTGATTATATGTTGCTACTTATTACGACGGTAAGTTATGAGTATGGGGATTTTCTCATAAACAAGGCATGATTCTTGCACCGAACCACGGTGGCAGATAACCTAGATCGCCAGTCGTCGTAAAGCTCTTGTTACAGGCAGCACTAACGTTGGAAACCTGTCATCGCTATGAACACGTTCCATTGACCTAGGGTAAGCATCATGACGTCAGTGGCACGGCAGCCCCTACTTGTGCACGGCATACCTGGCTGAGGCGCAGTAGGTACACTGATGTGTCAGCCATCATGACACATCAGTGTCCTTTCAGCCTAGCCTTAGTTTGATTGCACGAGCAAAACTACTAAGGGAAGAATCTGTCAGTGTCCTTTTTTGACTGACAGATTCCATGGGGTCCAGTTACTAACCAGCGCGCATCCCCCAAAGCATTATACGTCTGGGCGGGGCCGCCATCTTGATTGTCGTTGAAGTCTGATTTGCCCAGCTTGCAGTCTCGCCTCTAATTGGAACTGATGAGGCCCTGCTACGACGCCCGGGTCCGGCAAAGGTTGTTGAAACAAAAAGTTGAGTTTGCAAGTAATATGCGCGTTACGCAGTGTAGATTGGACATTTTAATGTTATGATACCAATAAGCAAAACTACCTGGTCTCAAGCTGGCACCCCTCTCACGCACGACGTTGCCCCTTTTTCGGGCCGGATGGTTCTGCCTCGTTAGGTAGCGTTGGTTAATACGCACCAATTCATGTCGGCCTGCTAAGTACTGAGATGAGGAACAAGTACTGTGTCATCGTATCAATCGGCTGTGCCACGCTCTAGGGAAATGTGATAGTTCTACGCCACCTAACAACCAAAATAATGGGGACAGGGTCATATGCGTAAATAATTGGCCAAGCCTCCAAGATGAGTTAAATAAACATAGCATATATACATATGCATATATATATATATATATATATATATATATATATATATATATTATTTATATATATATGTGTATGAATAGATTATATGCATATGTTTATATATATATATATATATATATATACAGTCATTTGTATTTATGGAGGAAAGGAGGAGGAGGAGGATTTATTTGAGTAAATAGTTGTAAGCTCTGGTTTGCATCAGTGCATCTTTTATATGATTTTCCAGGTATCTGTTGTTATCCTTAATTTGTATTGGTGTTCATCACCATCGCCAGGGAGGGTGTTAACAGATTTTTTAGTATATAACAAATCTTAGTTTTTTCGTTGCCAAGTGGGGGAGCGCAGCGTTTGTGGAAACGTCACGCAATCCTTTCTGTTGGGGTTTCCAAGATGGGGTCTCAGTATTTCTGCAAACAAGTTTCAATGTTTCATGACGATTACGAGAGCCATTGTTTTGTTGGCCTGTTTTGAAAAAGTAATCCGGAAAATTTGGTGACATTTTCAAAACCAGTTTTTATGCAACCTTTACATATATATATATATATATATATATATATATATATATGTAACCTTTATTGGTATTTGCCGGAGCTGGTTGCAAAGGTTATGTATATATATATATATATATATATATATATATATATATATATTATATTAAGAGCTGGTTGCAAGGTTATATATATATATATATATATATATATATATATATATATATTGGCATATGTAGGCAGCAAATAGTCTTCGATGCAAGTGTTGGTAAAAGCCTTCGCATAAGTGGATGTAATAAGCTTTTTCTGCACTTCCTCTAGTTTTCTGATCACGGTTGTCTGTCCCTCATTGAAGCTAAAAAGTAACTCGCCGATTGTTAGCATCTATTGGTTGCCCTGATGTTTCGGAATTACATATTCCATTTACAAAGGTACACACAACGACGTACAAGCGACGAATATACGATGACATGTTACAGTTAGGTATAACAAGAAAGGCATAACGATTTGGTATAGTCAAGTTCAGTTCGATCGTTAAATTGCACAGTGTCGAAAAAGGCACGATTACTGGATCTATCAATGACTGGATCTATCAGTCTGAATCAGGTCCTTGGAGGTACTAAGTAATCGTGCAGTCGGCATAGTCAAACAAAACAAGTTCATGAAATTGGCAATGATATTAAGGTGAGATTGAAAAGAAGATTGATTAGAATAAGTAAAGAACTGGAGAGAGATATAAAATATTTATGTTTACACTCACAAACCCGCACACCCATATATATACACATATATATATATATATATATATATATATATATATATATATATATATATATGTGTGTGTGTGTGCGTGCGTGCGTGCGTGCGTGCGTGCGTGCGTGCGTGCGTGCGTGCGTGCGTGCGTGCGTGTGTGTGTGTGTGTGTGTGTGTGTGTGTGTGTGTGTGTGTGTGTGTGTGTGTGTGTGTGTGTGTGTGTGTGTGTGTGAACAAGTTGGTAGGCAGGCAGACAGGTGTTTTCATTTATTGAGGAAAGAAGGAACTTGAAGTTTGTCATTGGGGCTTTACGACACACCCAGTTTCTGAGGCTATATGGCGTCACCTGCCTCTCACCCTGGCAGGAAGGGCGGACACCGCGGGGAGTCGAACCCCGTATCTCTCGTTTCCCAGACGGGCAGTGGTTAATGCAGAAGTAGTTAACGCGGCGTTAACCACTACACTACCGGCACCCCATTGAGGAGGTTTAGTTATTTGAGGAAGTACTTATAAGCTCTGGTTTGTATCATTGCATCTTGTTATATGGTTTTCAAGATGTTTTTCGGAACTTTCAGCTTGAATTGGTGCCCCTCACCACCGTCAGGAAAGATGTTAATGGGTGTTTGCAGTGACCATCAAATCTTAGTTTTTTTGTTAAGTGGGGGGCGCAGTGTCTGAGGACGATGTCACGCAATACCTTCTCCTCAGTTTACCAAGATGGGGTTTTAGAATTTCCGTAAACAAGCTTCAATGTTTCATAGCGATTACGAGAGGCATTACTGTGTTTGTTGTTTTGAGAACGTGATCGACGTTGTCAAAGCCAGCGTTTGCATGACCGTTATTGATAAGCACCTGACGCAGCCGGTCTAGCTCCCTATGGTGATCTAAAATACCCTCAACCAATACGATTAGTTGAAGCAGACCAATGTAGCTTACTGTTTCTAATGTATGACCGGAGACTGCGAAACCCGCAAAGTAGACCACATTGGTCTGACTGCAACAAGTCTCAGCCCGCGTCTAACCATGCACTTGCGGGAGGGGGCACCGAGAACACGTGCGCGGACACACCACAACATCCCACTCGCCAGAAATACGTTATTCATTAACACTACCATGCTTGCGCACACCACAGACCCTATGCGCCTCGTCACACTTGAAAAAGATTCATCAGAGACATGGCACATACAATGACATATAGCGATAACAAGAGGCATGACATATCAACATACAAAACAAACAACTCACACAA